AAGATTCATTGCCAATGAAATTGCTTGATGAACCATTTCTCTTAACTCTTCTTTCAGAATCCATGGATCCTCCTCTATTCTTTGATAGATAACTGAGGTGGTAGTAATGTATTCTTGCTTAGCAGTTACTAAAAAATTGTAAATTTTCGAGTATAGTTCAAAAGATATAATTTTGTGTTGTTAATATAGAATAAGCGACCTAAACATAAATTTTCCATACTGCCCTTTTAAATGCCACTATTTCTCATTCTCTTCATGTTTGGGAAAGAGATAGGAGAAATATGCAAAGTACTTTACACCAAATTTTTTTTTGAGAATAAGGGCATGCAAATATGCATTAAAGATCTTAACATTACATCATATATATTTTAATGAGAATTGAAAACGTGTTAATTTATGTCGCATACTGTTCTTTTACTGTGGCTGAACAGTATATTATTTTATGAATACTATAATATTTGGGATTCTGTAGCCATTTTAACATGTCAAGCCAATATGTATCTCTAATAACTATATAGCTTTGCTGATATAATAATTTCTTAACAAGTATGAATATTGCAAAAGATAATCATTACCATAATTAGGCTCCCTTCTCATACATCCAATTATTTCTTACTGGATAACAATGTCCCTCATCCCCATAACAAATATATCCTGGTTGTTCTGATTCATTTTTTATATTTAAAAACTTCATATCATTGGAAGTATTATCATTTTTCACCGTCTCTCAAACTCATTTTGCCAAAAATTCAGGACTTTTCTTGTAATTTCTATAAGCTTGCTAGATAACTGTCATATAGAAATTTTCAAAGCCATAATTATAGTAGTATTTAGAAATCAAGAATCCCCAAGATCGCTTCATTGATCTTCCTGAATAATACTTCATTATAAATTAGAAGATCTAACTCAGAATAGACAAATCAGGTTTTTTATCCTACAAGTGGTATATTTTACAATTATATTAGGCGATCATGTATGCAATTATATAGCATAAAAAACAGAATATAGTTGAGATATTATTTAGTCAAAAGTAATAATCCACATTGTTCAGAATCGGCCAGTCAAAACAGTTAAACAATCGTGATTTCTACTCCATCTCTTAATCTTATTGTGATACCTTTTGGCTGATTAAGAGGTTTTGTGAATGTTAATAAGTTATTTTATTTCATATATAGAGATGAAATAAATAGTATGTTTGGAGTTGACAAGTGTGGTTCAAAAGCTTGTTGCTTAACCCTTAAATATCTAAGATCACTTAAAGGATCAGAACATTCTTGGTCCCAATGTCCCTGCATCATGTCCTTAGCTTCAATCAATTCAATGAATCTATGCCATGTATGATTTGGTTGGCTTTATTTCATTAACTTGAAATGGTTTTCAGCAACGAAAGCAGATTGCCATATTGTTTTTATAGATTTTAAAATGATAATAAGAATGATATTATTTGTCAAATTTGCCTTCACCAACTCCTGCAAATAAGCAGAAACTATGGTATATGCTATTTTCATTTTGTGATAATAAATATTGGAAAGCATTTTTAACTTGTAATTCTCACTACACTGAAGACTTTTCTATTCTCATTATTGATAATTTATCATAGATTTTTTTATTAGCAAGAAATTTTTTGAAATCCATGCTACCATAGTAATTTTCAAGATATATTCTATAATATTCTATATCATATCTAGGATGGTTACTGATAGGCTTAGAAAACCTCTATTCTTTTTTATCAATAATCATATTAATATTAGTAGCGCTTGCCAAGCTAATAATTATAATATTTAGCAAAATATACTGAATTTATTGTTTTATAGTATTTTAGCAAATTCTATCTATTCTTAAGTAACATATACTATAGAATATCATCATTCAAATTTATATGGATTTGCTAATTAGCGGTTAATTAATTTGTAGCTGATTTGAAAGACTATATATTACTAAACCCAAATTTATTTTTCTGAAGGCAGATTATGTAGTTATTCGTTTTGCAAAAAAATAAATAATATCATGGATAATTTATGAATATAGTTGAGATAAATAACACTATTATTTAGTTGAAAGATATTAAGTCTATTTCCTTGCATTTTTTTCGCAAAAAAGCTTAGTATTCATCAACATCAATGAAGCTAGATGTATTTGCATTACGTTGCATTAATGTAACAGGCTTTTGTAGCAATAGAGGAGGAATTTACCCATTTAATATTTCAGATTTTTGATCGTTATCATTGGTAACGAAAATTAGTGAAACCATTTTTTACTCAGCATTAGTAATACAAGCTGGCTTAAAATTTGAAGTACTTAGCATAGTATTTTTTGCTACAATTGCTTTATATTATGCATAATTTTCATAGCTAACCGTAAAATTCGAATCATATGATACTGATGCTAACTTATCCTTTTCTGAGTGTGAAGTTGATTGGGAGAAAGCTCTAGATAAAGATGATTAATTTTAGCCTCTTTTTGTAATATGTATTGTTTATATTGCCAGATTTGAAATTCCCTTCTATCAATAGTTTGGAGAATTTTATTTCTTCTTACATGTTCATTCGAAATAGTATTTCCAGAAATACATATTTTCAAGTAGCTATCATGACTGCGATAGTTGCTATAAAATGTTTCAGGTATGAAAACTAAGGAATCACATACACTACAATATATATAATTTATTCAATTAGTGTGGACTTTATCATTTTCATAAAGCTTTTCATATATTATAATATATCCATTCTTAGAAAGGATTCTTGAATTCTCTTCAAGTATTTTTCTAAATGGACCACAGATATGAAAGCATCACATTTCTGGTGTTTTGTGATCACGTCTTTTTGTTAAAAATAATATTGCATCAAGTATTCTTATATATTCTTCAGAGCTTCCATAAGTATTATTTGCATCAATTAGCTTAGAATAACTTCTACTATCTAAATCTATATTAGCATTTTGCTAGATTATAACAGAATATAATAATTTTAAAGTATTTTATCGATTTTAGCTGATTTAGTAATATTATACTCTAATAAATATCAGATTCAAATTTATACGAATTTGCTGGTTAAGCAGTTTTAATAATTTATAGTGATTAGTTAATTCGTAGCTGATTTAAAAGACTACATACTGCTAAATCCAAATTCATTTTATTTGATTATAAGCATATCAGAGATCCTCTTTCAGGCTAAGCTAATTTTATATTTATATGCAGTTTGTGAATCTCTCGTAATTAACAGGAGATTAGCCAGAGGCATTGCATTTGATATATAACACAAAAATTTGGCTCTCAGACAGTTTCTGGCACTTTCTCGCAACCTTTTCGCAACTTAAATTATAAGAATCTGCCAATCAGATTTTACCACTCTTGATCTATTTACATGATAGCTAAGCCACCGTTATTAATCATTACATTGATTAATTAATTTACCTCATCATGGTTCTAACACATTACTCGATATTTTTTTATAACAACTACCCTCTAGAGAATCTTCTCATCATGTCAAAAAATCAACTATGGAGTTCTCTGACACTCAACTTTGCATTCTCATTAACGAACAAAAAAATAGAAATGCAGAGTATCATGCTACTACAAATAAGAAGAAGTATCTCTTTTGGAACAAGATTACAGAAAAAATAAATGATCAAGAAAATACTAATTACTTCACTGGTAATAAATGTCATAAAAAATTTTTAAGCCTCATGAAAGCTTTTTATGTAAGTAAGCGATTACTTAGATTTTATGAGGTATCTTAATAGCAAAATATGCTTATTATTAATTTATTAGATGGCAGAAAAATATAAAAAAGGTACTGGAGACAAGAAGAGCTTGGTTGGAAAGAAAATATATAAAGAGTTTTTAACGTTATTCTGGTTAAAGCCTGATATATTTCTGTGAAAAATATTTTTTTGTGTCTATTTATTAATACATTCTAATTTACAGAACTATCCTTCAATCAACAACATAATGAGAGTATTAGAAAAAGTGGGACGAACTCATCTTCCTCTTCAAAACAACCTGAACGCTTCCTAGGAGGATCATTATCTCCAAAAGTTGTCAAAAATTCTAAAGAAACATCAGTAACACCATCAATTGTCAAACCTCTTATCTCTACCTTTGGCGCTTTCAACAGGCCAGACACATCTACTCTTCCATTCTTCTCTCAAAATGCGAATATTATTAATGTTACTATCAATAATAATTTCATTGGTATTCTAGAAGAAGACTAGAGTTTTTTCATTCCTCTAATATTTACTGCTGTCTGCTAATGCAAAACATTTATAGCTGTAATAAAACAAAAGCAAATGTAATATTCATTAATTTCAATTGTATAATAAAAAATAAATTCATTGATTAAAAAACACTAGGCGGAACTATTTAAAAATAAAAAGTACTTTTATTGTAAATTGGCTGGCCAGGCCAAAAAAAAAGCTAAGTGTTTGAATGTTCAAACATATAAGAATTTGACATATAATAAAATTTGTTATCCCTTCATTCGCTACAAATTTATCTATTATGTTCCTATTTATCTATTATAAGAAAAAAAAAGATCACACAGACTAAAAATAACTATTGAAGAAAGAATGACATATATACAAATTTATCTAGTATGACATATTATTGTATGTACAACATAAAGATATAAAGACATAAAAAGACATAAAAAAAAATATAGCTGAAGGTGCTATACATAATCTATAACGCTTTACGCTATTGCATTTTTGTTTTTAAGAAGTTAAGTTCATCTTGTATAAGAGACGAGATCATATCTGCAGAATTCTATAAATTTTATCATTTCCTATGAAGTTAAAAAGGTCGTATATCTTACTTGCCTTTTCCATTTTTTTCTTTACTAATGTTAAAGGTATACCAGGTGGAAAATATCTGTGTACTTTTTCATTTAATTTCTTTCATACTCTTTTCTGCTTATTTTCCATTAATTCATTAAGACGGATGGTCAGTGCTAGGCTAATTCATAATAGGAACAGATTGTATGAGATTCTGTTTTACCAAGTTTTCAACATACTTTACGGAAAAGATCAGATGGTTTGTCTTGAGAAAGATTTTCTAATGGAATGTTATCATCATTCATTAAATCTGTCTGTAACTCACGCAAGAGAGCCAATAGTTTCTGTTCTCTGCACATGTCTTTAAAGCTGAGTAATTCAAGTTGTTCATAATTGTGATCCTAACACACTGAACAATATTCTTTGCAGATTGAAGATGCACAACAACATCTAATATGGAAAGCATGCCCATATGGAAACAAGGCAAGCGAATTTATAATCTCCTTCCTACATAGTAAACAATGCTGAAGTCTTTCAGGAAAAAGATTGGATGCCACTCTGTAAAATAAATTTGATAAAAGTAGCATGATAGATTCTTGAGACGCCATAAAGACATAAAGAATTTATATTAGCCTATTTATACTTACAATACCTATGGTAATGGATTAATAAAGCTATTCTAAAAAATAAGCGTAACAACATCATATCATATGATAATCGTGAAGACTCTTCTCACTTCCAGTCAATAGAATCAGACTAATAATTCAATGATGTCTTACTGCGCATAGTATATTCTGCAGAATTGCATGGCTTGATTCAGTATCATGTGGTATATCAAGAAATTTGCATGAACAAGTGTTTAATACACATTTGATGTCCGTCAATAAAGTGAATGCTATATTTATTTTCCAATATAATTGCACGCATACACCACTCGTATATGTAAAAAAAATAAAGCCTAACTAATTTTTGTCTATTATATAACATTATTATATATAACTACGCCTAAACCATTTTTCCACTCTATTAATGATACTTATTTCGGTATTAATTAAAATAAACGACTATCTAGAAAGAAATGTACAACCACAATTGAAAATAAGATATTTAATCTGGTGTCCTATTCATATTCAAAACGGGAATATTTTCCATTGTAATTTGATGACGCTTTCCTAACATATTACTTCAATACAATTCTTTCACTGACTTTTCAGTTTGTAGTAATTTTATCTGCATAGAATTATTGTATATTAAATAAACAATTCATGGGTTAATTATAACAGTAAGATAAAAATAACATACACTCCCCTTCAAAAAATATCCGACCACTTGCTGATCATTTACCGATCATTTGAAATTATAGCTGATTTCGACGTTTATTACTTAACAATTTATTAATAAAATTTTTACA